TTGCTATTATTTAAAATTTAACTTACTTTTTTTAAAATGGCCAAGCAAGTTTTATTTATATTTTTTTTATATCCTTTCATTATAATTTTGTTTTGTTTTTATTATTTGGGTTTTAATTTTTTTTTCAATTGATGGCATGGTTTCCAAACCTAAAAGTTAATTTAAAAAATATACTTATATGAACAATATAATTAAAAATTACTTACCAATGTATTTCAAGTTCCAAAATTTTAACCTTAACGGTTTGTTTATCATTTCATATTTCTAAAATAAAAAAATATATAATTAATATTATAAAGTTTTGACCTTTTGTGTTAAAATTGTAATTGCAATAAAACTGATATAATATTATTATAATTATTATTATTATAATCAAGTTTTAAGTAACAGGGTTTGTATTATATTATACCCAAATTAATAATATTGTATTAAGAAATATTATGTACCTGTAATGATGGTAAGTATGTATATAACAAATTTAATGTTTTTGTAAGTGTAGTTTTTTTTAAATTTGTTTGCATATTACTGCTTTTCTCACGACCATTGTTTTCTAAAAATAAAACAAAAAATCATAAATGTTTAAAAATTATTTTTTTTACGCGCTTTATTGCTTTAGTGGCATATTCTAACAAGCTTTGTAAGAGAATTTTATTGCATAATTATGCAATAAGATTCTTTTAAAAATCTAACAAAATAGTATTTTTTAAAATTATTTGCAAATTACCTTTCTTTCAGGGAGGTCTTTTTCTTCTTCCTGTTCTCCCACTAGTTTTTCCATTGTTTTCTAAAATAAAATATAATCATAAAATCACAATTTTAGAAGTAATAATATTCTTATAAAAAATACGATTTTGTTATGATTTTAAATTATTTTAATAATTACCAATTTTCCTGTCAGTCTGTTTATATTAATTCCTTTTCATGTTTAATCATGAATAATTATTTTAAAATATAGTTGTATAATTGCCCTATACAATTCTTCCAGTAGTTTACTAAAAGAAAAAAAAGAAAATTAATATTATGTAGATAAGCTTTTTACAATATGATATATCACTTAAAAAAAGCAAAAATATAGTAGTAGTAAATATATTTATTGGAACTAGATTTCTCAAGATTTTTCTGTTAAAATGATCATGTCCCGAGGCGGATTTTTTTTCTTGTAGAACTTTATAGTATTCTGTTTCGTTAATAGTGCGAGTGGTTAAGTTGAAGTTTTGTACCTTAAAGAAATTGCTGTTAAGATTTGTATCATAAAATTTGGGATCATCTAAAAATGTATAGCTATTTTTAAAATAATTTAAGAAGGCTGTGGCTATATTTCTATCTGATGTTAGTGTTTTGTTATTTTCAATAATTTTGTGGGATTGGGGACAGTTTCCATATTTTGAAAGTTTTTTAATCCCCTTCCAATAGTTTTTTCCTCTCAAGCCATTTATGTGTTTTGTATTGGGCAACCAAATTGTGGACTAACTTATTAAAGAGATTTTTTAATTGAGGATCATTATTTTGTATAATTTCTCTGTACAGTTTTCTTTTTGTTTTCAGCATTGGAAGAATGTATGGTGGAAGATTGTAGTTAAAATATGATCGTTTTACTTTGGGTGTGTTATTTATAACATTCTTTTTTAGTTTTACTAGAAAATTTTTAATAGAGGGTTTGTTAAATGATCTTTACAAAGAGAAAAAATTTAATAGATCCATGTTTACCTTTTTAAAGTTCAGGAAATACTCTGGATTGAAAACAGTTGGAAGTTGATGGCTGATAATTTCAAATTGAAAAATATATCATTAAAATTATATACTTTTCTTAATAAATTATAAAAAATTGTTAAGATTAGATGCATGTATTCAAATACAAAAACGTGAATTAAAAGTTAATCTTAAGTAATTTTGATGTTTGTTTAAGTTTTAATGTTATTTTTTATTTAAATTTTCTACAGAAGCTATAGTCTTTTAACATAAACTATAGGTTTATGTCAGTAGAATATTCACTAATTAAAAGCTTTCCGAATAATATTAAATAATAATTCCTTTGTCTTTATCATAGAATACAAGCTGTTTCCAACTACAGTTTTAAAGTATCGCAAAAAACCGTCAAAATTGGGAAAAAAACTGTTTTTTCAGGCCTTGAAAAAATGGATTTTTTTGAATTTTTTTTTTTTAAATATAGGGACACGTTTTAATAAAAGTAGCAATCAACAACTTAACATTATTTAAATTTAAAAAGAAATTTCCTTTTTTACAAAAATAAACGTAAACGTTAAATATACTGTAAGTTAGTTCCTTTTTGCAAAAGGAAGCCCATTCAAATATCCATTTACAAATTATAAATAATTTATAAAGTTACATCACTAAATTAAAATTTTATAAATCGATGTGTCAAATAGTTATGTTAATACAGCACCAAATATGTTTTTTACGGCCTGGTAGAATATTCTCACTGAATTAAAATAATAATTATTATAATCATAATAGTTGGAAATTCACTTTTTTCTCAATATCAGTGTACAGATATTATACGTAAAATTTTTTAAATTTTCAAAAAAAATTAAATACCTTTCGAATAAAATTTAAAAAAAATGCAAGAGTAATTTTTGCAAATTTTTCACGGTTTTTTTTTCGCCGGGTTTAACTCTTTTTCCAACTGCATCAAAGTCCTTGCAACATGGATACCTGAGTAGTTTTGTTTGGGCCAATCTAAAAATAAAATAAACTTTATTTTAAACTAGTGACTGGCAATTATAACAAAAAATGATTAATAATTAATTGTCCAAGGCCGATAAAGTATCATTTAACAAGTTGATTGATTATTTAATAAACAAAAATAAATAAATAAAAAATAAATAAATTAATAAACAAAAATTTTAACTATTTTGTAAATTAATATTTTATAACAATTTAAAAAAAATATGGTTCGTTTTTAATAAAACAATTTTTTTTAATTAAAAAAACAAAAAGAATTTAATATGATTCTAAAGTAACAGAAATTGGATTGGTTGCTTAAAATACAAATAAGATTTTTAAATTAATTAATTAATAATAAAATAATTATAAATGTTTCTTTAAAAACTAAGTTCAGTTAAGTCAATGTCAAATATTTATGAATAAAATTATTATTTCTGTTCGTCGTAGATAAAGTAAAGTATGCAACTCGTTTTATAAACTTCTCTAGACACTTTTATTAAACATTTGCTCGCAGGCTTCGCTCGCGCTTAATAAAACTCGTAACTAAAATGGCGTTTTTGAAACTTGATACATAATATACTATTAAAATATTATATTATGTATCAAACTTATATTATCTAAAAAATTATTTAAATTAAATATTTGTATAAAGCGACATCTATACGAAAATAAAGTAACCATCCCAATTAATATTTTTAACGTAATTTTCACCATTATTATGTTAAGAAAATATTATTATTATAAATGTTTCTTTAAAAACTAAGTTCAGTTAAGTCAATGTCAAATATTTATGAATAAAATTATTATTTCTGTTCGTCGTAGATAAAGTAAAGTATGCAACTCGTTTTATAAACTTCTCTAGACACTTTTATTAAACATTTGCTCGCAGGCTTCGCTCGCGCTTAATAAAACTCGTAACTAAAATGGCGTTTTTGAAACTTGATACATAATATACTATTAAAATATTATATTATGTATCAAACTTATATTATCTAAAAAATTATTTAAATTAAATATTTGTATAAAGCGACATCTATACGAAAATAAAGTAACCATCCCAATTAATATTTTTAACGTAATTTTCACCATTATTATGTTAAGAAAATATTTTATCCTTTGATTTTTTTACTATTACTATAATTGCAAAATATTATCACAAAGTATTAAAAATTCTTACACGGAAAATGTTAAAGGTACAAAAAGTGACAGTTCTATTTATTGGAATTCCCGTTATAATTTCCAACTTGGGAATTTACCGGCGTTAAAATCCTAAATTTTTCTGTGTTAATCAAAATTTATCCCTTAAAACAAAACTAACAAAAGATTTATGGGCGCTGTACGCAAAATTTGTAACGCTTTATCAGTTAAATCTAGTTAACTACACTACTACGGCGAAATCAAAATGTCAGTACAAACGTTTATATAATCTTTTCAAATATTGGCGTCAAGAAATTTAATACTTTTGTATTTCAGTATTATTTTACAAGAAAGACACTTTATTTTAACGATTATATAACATTTGACAACTGTCAACTAACTTCAGCCCGTGACTAAACCGTGATTAAAGCGCCATAAAGTCAAAACATGTTCGATAATGGGCGTTTTAAAGGTGGGAGTAGAAAAAATATATTAAATTAAAAAAGTGAAGTGAACTAAAACTTCAATTATATGAAATTATAAAAAAAAACAATGACAAATTTAAACAATATAAGTATAATCTTTTGCTGCAAGAGCACGGACCTCTGTGTTGGGGTTACCACCCTCAGGCAAGAACAATGTGGCTCAAAGAAATGTTATTTTAAATTGGAGGATACAAAAAAATTGCGGGAAAAGAATTTGCTAAAATATCGCAAGAGGATTGGATAAAAAGATGTCACCACACAATATTTATGGGAGACAAATATCTTGACTGGGAAATGGTGTTGGATGATCATGTAGAACCATTTTTTATTAATTTAGATTTAGATGATAGTAGCTATTTTTTAGAAGAATATTAATTAATTATTATTTAAGTAATTGTACCAATAAATGTTTTATTCATATCTGTATATTAAATAAAAAGTATTTACAATAATAAACCTAAATATATTTTTTTAATAATTTAAAATTATTTTGTTTGATTAATCTGTTTTCACAATAATTAAAAGAAATCAATTATTTTTATTTGTTAATTACAAATTACAATCAAGAAAACTTAGCAATTAGCAATAACTATTTAAAAAAAAAATACTTACGATTTGTTTGTGATTTTTGTCAATGTCAAGTGTGGATTTTATCAAGCGCTCAATTTTTGCAAAAACTTCATCTTTTGGAATTCAATCATTCAATTTCTTCTTCATTTCAATCACTTCTTTTTCACTTTTTTCCAAAGCATTTTTCAATTTTATGCTTGAAGATTTCTCCCTGCAACACCTCTTTTTTATTTCTCGTAACTGCTGCTCTTTCTTTTTAATTTCAAACATGTGCCTTGCCCTTTCACATCTTATTCTTGATTTTAACTGCATAATACGTTCAGATAATTGTTTTCTGAAATCAAGTTATTGAAATATATAAACATTTTACACAAGTAAGAAATACTTATATAATCTGAATAAAAAATATCACATTTGATTAAAAATATCCGCTTATTTAATGAAATAAAAATTAAATCGAATTAAAAAGATCTATGATTTTTTTATTACATTTAAAAATTTCTAATAATATTTTTTATTTAATGAATTAAAATAGGTATGTGTTTAACAAAAAAATACAAATATAAGAAGCAAATATTTTCAATTCATATATCAGTTTGGCATAAAAATTAAATCTATTTTTTAATTAATAAAAAATATCAGTTTGGTATATCTGCTATGATATTTTTAATTTGCAGATTAAACAATTTTTTATTTATACATATATTTTAGAAATTAGATCTAATTTTTATTTATACTTATATTTTTAATATATTTAATTTAAAATATCTCGTATGATATTTATGCATTTAAAAATTTCTCCTATGATATTTTTAATTTAGCGAATTAAAAAATACAAAAATAAGAAACAGATATTTTAAATTAACTAAATTAAACATATAAGTTTGGCATACAAATCAAATTTTTTGCAGAATAAAATTTCTTTTATGATATTTTTTTTCTAATTGAAAATATCACTTTAGTGTTAACACAAGAATAATTCCTGAATAAAAAATAAAACATACATATTCAAATAGTAAACTGTAAATAAGCAGAAAAACCATGGTTGTTATTTTTTTTTTAATTATTCAATTAAGTTTATTTTTATTTTTTTTATATTTTTCAGTAAACTCAAAATTTATAAAAAAAAATCCAAATGTCAACATTTGCTAAAAGTTAAAAGTACCCAACTAAAAAGAATTATCTTTATTTTATGTACCTAGTATACATTTTTTTATAATAAGGCAAGTTAATAAGTATTTTTATACAACACGTAGAAGAAAATGGCAATTTTAAAAGTTTAAAATTGATATTTATTAATGGATCATCTTTATAGAATTAATGTATTAATAGCAAAAAATACAGGGTGGAAATAAAAAAGCTGGTATTATCCAAACCAAACACTGTACAAAAATAAAAATCTAATAATTAGAAATTTGTATTAAGTAGTTTATGATTTTTTGTCCTAGAATTGGGTTCACCCTGTACATATACTCTACATATAAACAAAAATAAAATTCTTACATTTGCATTTCATCATCCTTTTTAATCACTTTTCTTGTGGTATTATAGTAAGCCGTTTTGTGATGTTCCAATTCCATTTGATCATCATCAGCAGTTTGAGTTTCTTGTAAGAAGTACCTTTGAAGAACATCTGGTTTATCGTTTAGGCCCTTTTCTTGTACACTGCAAAAAGAAAATTTAATTTTGATTTTATTTTTTTAAATTTAATTCTAATTTCTTACAAAGTACCGGATGTCTCTTTTGCTACATCTAGATCAACTGCTGTTAAGTTTAAAGTTGGAACAGCATCCTCTCTTAAAGTTCTTTTTTTATGGGACTGTAGATTAAATGTTTTCTCAATCCAATTTTCCTCCTTATAACAACAATCATGAAAGTGAAGGGAACAAATACGAGCTACGACACAAACAAAAATATTAATCCAAAAAATTATATATTTTATAGATATTAAAGTATTCGAAAAAAATACCTCTAAAAAACAACTTATCAATTTCTTAAATAAATTTACTTACGATCCTTAAGATCAATTTTAAGCCCAAGAACTTTTTTCCAGTGTTCCCTTAATTCTTCATTTTTGGGAAATCTAAAGAAGTGTATTTGACTTCCAGGTTCTTTCATTTTGGAATTGTTTTTACAAATTTTTACTTGGCAATTGGCCATTTTAAACACTCACAAAACCTAGAAAACACAAAAAAACAACTATTTACAACGTACAACCAGAGACAAGGGTACAACATGCATAGATTACAACACAAAGGAAACACAAAGGAAACAAAACTGACATTTCGGCCATGTAAACAGGGCCGGACTAAAGCATTTTAAAAATAAATATTGGATAACAGGACCGGCTTCGAAAACTTTATACCTTTAAAAATTTAATTTTGTTATTTAAAATTAAATTCATCCTAAAAGGGCGATTAAAATAAAATATATTAAATAAAAAATTTATTTTCACAAAATAAAAATACAAATAAATATAATATATAAACAGTTTTATCAGAAATATCAACATTTAAGCCTGACTTATAGATTGCCTTCCTTCCTTCCTCCCTTTCACCTAAAAGATGAACAATACAAAAACCGTTGTGCTGTTTATAGATTCCCGTACTTTAAAAGCAGAAGACTATATAAAAATAATAAATATAAAACTAAAGCATATGTACTTCTAGTTTTCTATAGTCCATAAATAAAACATGTATATCACACATGGATAGGTTTCTCTACACGGAAGGTCATGGGATCAAATGGGGCGGGGTCGGTTGGGTTGGGTTGTTGGGTTTGGGTTGGTTTGCGGACTCGGGACGTTGGTTAAGGAAAAAAGATCTGCTTCCCGTCATAAGATTGCGTCATTGGATGACGTCACTCTGTTAACGGGAGCGCAATACTTAAAAGTTTTAAGACATAATAATTATAATTATAAATATAAATTGTTAAAACTATCAGTGTTATCATAACCTTAGTGTAATGAGCGATATATAGGTTGGCAAAGAGAAGAAAAAAGGGCGAATTTCGTCGAATTATACTCGAACTAAAACTTTAGGATAAGGAATGGTTCTTTAGATTGTTTGTTCTGTGGATACACCAGAATACACTTGAAAAAGATCTGTCATCTGTTTGCATGGCTACTACCCTGATTGCTACCAACAATGTTCAAGTGAAATCATGAAATTTATTAAAATTCACACATAAGAAACCCGTAAAGTTGAGATGATTTCAACTTTACGTATTTTTTACGGTCACCCATAAGATCTTATGTTCGAACGTAAAACGTAAAAATTACGGCTATTCATTATAAACAGGCACACTGGTTTTGTTAATATTCAACTTTACGTTTTACGTATTTCTTACGGGCATCTTATGGTTACGTCCATTATGAATGAGCACTAAGTGCTAAGTGTATATCCTCTACATTTTCTCAAAAATTTATACTTTTTCATAGATATTTAAAAAATTAATACATTAAAAGCAAAACTCCTCTATCTGGAAAACTTCTCGTTGTTACAGGCAATAGAAGGAAATAAGTTATGACATTCAAATTTGGCATAAATTTTTTTTTATATTTTTTAAAAACAAAAAAGGGGCGGCACGATTAAAATTTCGTCATCGGTCAAATAAGAACCACCCTACTGCTTATCTTATCGCTTTATTTGGAATATTTGATAATGACTTTAACGTTAACGTACGTTACACTCTGGTGGATAGAGTTTGGGCCATGTTTAGGTGTTTCTTGTTATGACGCTCTCCTATTTACCATTTATTGTATTTATTGGTATTTTACACCATTTTATTTTATTGCATATTGTTGATTTTATTTGTGTCTGTATTTGTATTTGAGTTTTCGTAGTTAGTTATGTTATTTTATTTCCTCTGTATATTATTTTGTACTCCTTGTATATAAATTAAATAGTATTTAAACTTAGTAATATTGTTTTGTCATTTTAGCCTGGCATGAAGAAATGATTAATGATAAAAATAAATTGACTGTGGCTGGTACGTCTTGGAGTGCTGATTAACAAAACAATTTGCATTATTCATGGGGATAGTGCAGTTATTGTTGGTTGTGGTGGAGAAAACCGGATGTGGGGAAAAGAATTAAAACATGTTCAGTTATCTGATGTTCAATGGACTCCAGGTAAAAAATTGTTGTTGTTTACTTAAAGAATTCTATAATATATGCTTATAGGCAAATATATTATTATTATAACTCTAAAGCAATCTTTCAAAGTTTGTAGAAAATTTAGAGCTAAATCGCTTCCATCAGCTTGCATGTAGATTTTTTAAGCTTCGTAAATGTTTTTGAAGTATGTTGCAATTCTAGCTTGCCTAAAAGCATCATTGCGCACATATATACAGTCTCAGGTTAACAGAATTAAAGTGATTTTACATAAAAAATAATATAAATATGGCATATGATATTTTTTTGTATTTTATTTAAAAATATTTGAAATTTTTTATTAGTGTTATTTTTGATCGCTGATATCTTTGAAACTGTTGATCCGAAGAACTTTGACCTTCAGATGTTTTTTGTAGAGCGTGAAATTGTCTATAACTCCTCTCGCATTCGAAAGTTATAAGAATTCAAAATTAAAAAAATAAAAATTCCCGTGTTATCGAATATAATTATTAATATAATAGCTATTTTCGCGGACCTAATCCCGAACTAATTCCGGACATCCTTTTTAAAATTTGGCGTTCAAATTGTAAAGTGCGCATGACAAATATTAAAATGCGCATGCCTAGGATGTCCGAACTAGTTCGGAATTAGCACCGCGAAAACACCTAATATTAAGGGCTCAAATAGGCGCCATCATTTTTGTTTTTTAATGTAGGTACTATTAATTTTTCAACACCATTAGAAAAAATTAATTGTTTTTTTTAAACACCCTAATATATATGTATATATAGTGGCAGGAACAGTTCCTGAGGAACTTCAGCTGATACATTTTTTTACTTTTGTTTACCTCTGATGTTTTATTTGTAAATTATAGCCATTTTGTATTCTCAGGTATTTTCATTTCAAAACAATTAAACTTGTTCAAAAATTTATATATATATATATTAAAAATATATCCAAATAAGAGAAACAATAGCTAAAAAGAAAAATATATATAATAGTTACTAAAATTCATATTTTTTTAAATTGTCTGTCAGACTCGGCGCCACCGTTCATGTTCTGCCAGGAGGCGCCACCACTCCAGGGTTAAAGAATAACATTTTACTAAAATTACTACTATGTTAATCATATCAAATATGTTTGCTGTTTTTTTTTGTGTGACTAAAAAGCTGAATGCTTAAAATCAATTGATTTATAACTTTCTTTTGTATCATTGTAAAAAAATTACCCCTAACATTGAAGATGGGTGAAAATATTTATTGATATATTATTTTATTATTAAAAACAAACATACCTTCTTCCATAAATGTTTACTTCCTAATAGCATACCTAGATAATTAAAAAAAATACTATTTATTAAATTTTATGATAATGTTTGAATAAATTTGTAATTTAATAAAAATAATTTAAATTTATAAATATAAAAAAATAACTAGGGCAAAAAGGATTATAAAATAAAACCAAAATTGTGTTTAGAAAATATTTATGTCTTATTTTTTTTAATACTTTGGAGAATTTTAAATTTTAGACCATGTTCAACTTATTTTCTGCTTTTAAATTATGAGCTTGTTCTTTAAATAGAAACATTAGGTTTTGGGTAAAAAAAGTAAAAGTTTGAGAAATATTTATTGATATATTTTTTTTTTATTTAGAAAAAATACATCTCAATGTGCCCTCATGGGCCACAACAGATAATAAATATAAAAATGTACATATAAGTATTTGTATATATATATAAATAAATAATCTATAAATAAATAACACTTAACCTATTCAGTCTCTTAAATTAATTATATATTCTTTAATCGCTTTTTTGAAATCTTTGGTGTTTTGTTCCTTTAATTTCGCCGGCAGCTCATTGTATTTTTTTATTCCCTCATTCATCAGTTGCTTTTGACTACTTTTTGTTTTGGCTCTATCTATTCTTATTTTATCTCTGCTTCTAGTATTGTATTTATGTATTTCTTTTTGTTTGGTTAATTTTATGTCACTGTCCACAATTTCTTTTTTGTTGATCTTATGTATTATTTTTAATGTTTCCAGTTGTTGTAATTCATTAATATTTAAATGCTTTGTTCTTTTATATACTTCTTTAGTTGCTGTATCTTTTTTAATATTATATAGGACCTTAATGATTTTGCTTTGCACATATGCGTCGTATAGCATTTTTTTATGTTTTACTGTTATGTAATCTTTGACTCTATATGCCATGTTTATTTTTGACGAAATTTCCCTTTTTAATTTATTAATGTGGGCTGTCCATGTGAGTTTTTTGTCCAGTATTAGTCCTAGGTATTTGATTTCCTCCACTTTATCTAATATAGTTCCATTTATTTCAAGGTTGATGTTGTGTTCTTTCACTCTATTTTCTATATGTATGAGGTAGCATTTCTTTTCATTAATTGTCAGTTTGTTTGCGTTTGTCCATTTTTAAATAATAATTTTTTAATAATAATTTAAATTTATAAATATAAAAAAATAACTAGGGCAAAAAGGATTATAAAATAAAACCAAAATTGTGTTTAGAAAATATTTATGTCTTATTTTTTTTAATACTTTGAAGAATTTTAAATTTTAGACCATGTTCAACTTATTTTCTGCTTTTAAATTATGAGCTTGTTCTTTAAATAGAAACATTAGGTTTTGGGTAAAAAAGTAAAAGTTTGAGGTGACAGTTTTTAAAATTTGTATACCTTATTTTTCATAAAAATTATTTAAAAAGCATTGTATTGTATTAGGCATACATAATTTTTTTCATTGGGTTTAATTTAACCTTTTAGAAAAGCAGGGATTCTTGCCCTATTTCCAGCAAGGGCGTAAACTATAGGAATGCTACAAAAAGTTTTGACACTCCACCTCTCACCCATTTTCTAGCACAATTTTTCTGGACATGCAATTTTTGAGTAAAGCTCCCTCCTTTTAATTAAAAAAGTTTATTCTGAAGCCATCCTCTAGAGTTTGTTTCTTATTTTTTTTATATTCTTGTCACAAATTTTAAATGTCTTTTTCATTGCATTTATTTTTCAAAATATTTGCCTACATGCCT